TGTCTTCTTCATCCAAATCATCACTTCTCCTCCCTCACTTGTGTCGTACATACAAACTTCCTTCGGATGAGCTGGATAACATCGACTCGTCCCTTCTTTCTGGGTTCCGTAGATAGGGAGTCAGAATCACTGTTATTATCGTGTTTCCGAAGTTGACGTCATCAATCATCCTTCTTTCCTGAAGGTCGAACCCGATCGTAGTATGCGGCCTGCTGGGATTTGGCTAGTTCCAGGGCCAACTCCTAGCGTAGGCTCTCGTTCTCAACCATCATGTTTTCCAGACGCTGTTCATTTTTCTTTTCTTGATCCACGATTGTCTGCATTGTCTCTTGCACCGATGTTAAAGGTGAGGTCTGGGCAATTGAGTCAATGTTCAAGACCCGTCGTGCGGTGATATTCTCCGGTCCAAGCATGTTTCTTGGAGTGATGTCATCTCTTGGAGTAATGTCATCGGCGACTATCGGAGGATCATCTGTTACGCCAATCATGGATGTGTTTGAGTATTTCCACAGACGGCGCCAATTGTGAAGAAGTGGTTTGGAAATACTCCAGTATCCAGTCAAACGTCCTTGATCCCCTGATTGCTACCTGAAAAAGAGATGAACACTCCGGTCAGGGGTGCCAGAATTAGCACTCCGACAGTCAAGTTAGAACGCTCTCAGGTTTACTTCTATCTCAAGTTATTTTATCTATTCTCACATACCTTTCTTTTGTCGACGTTCCTTTTTCTTTTCTCACATACCTTTGGGCCCATGGGTCGGGCCCACCTTTAATCTCGCACTTGATGGCTTACTCAGCCTTTTGATTGCGTGTTGGTTCCTATTCGGCTATTCATACGGCCGACTATACTCTACCTTAGATTTTAGCCAAATCAACTTAGGCCAGATGTCTTTAAATTCTTTGGCCTTCCTCGACACATCATTATTTGGCCCCCACATTCTTGACAAATAAGAAACCTAAAATTAAGAAAGACAATAAATCCAAATTAGGAAACTTAATAATTGTACAATATTTATGCTAAATTAAAAGAATTCTAATCAAATAATATATTGAAAATATTAATACTAAAATTATAAAAATGCTTAAAATCTTGTCTTGCATCAGTTTCTTAAGTTTTTTGCATTCTTATTGATTTTAACTGCAAATTCATTTATTGGTCATGGACTATCTTGTGTTCATCTGCATAATACTTCTAATGTTAATTCTAGTGACTACGTTGTAATTTCCAAAAGGTTGGGAAGAGAAATCGTTTTTTCCCATTTGGTTTCTTTCAATTAGAATGTTTTATTTCACTTCCAAGTTTTTTTTCGTGGGATACATGCCGCAGTAGCATGAATCCCTTTGTCAGGATTGTCTTACATCTTTGTTAAAAACAATTTAATGTGGCCAACTAATTAGTAATAATAACTCTAGCTTGAATAGTAAAAATCTAAATAGATTTCTTACCCAAATAGGGCTCTTTTGTACTTCAGCTTTGTAGCTTTCTACAAAGTTTGGATAGATTGGATAACTAGAGATTGCAATGCAATGGAATGTTAGTGGTGAGATAAATCATCTATGGATTATTTAGTTGAAAATGATGTGGATTTGACTATTAGTCCGTCCTAATCTGTCATTCACTTTTCTAATCAAATGATGAACTGGTAAATCTATTGGACATGGATTCCAATCCCATGTCTCAATCTCATAAAACAAACACCCAAAATTGCACACTTTAGGATGGGTAACTTGTACCTTTTTTGATATAGTAACAACTTTTGTCTCCAAGTTATAACCTTCTTTTCTACTTTTCTTGAACTCATGTTTGTGGATAAGTTATATAGAGTTTTGTGTACTTATTTTGCAAACCAATGAACTATATTTGCTGGATTATTTTATTTTACATTACATAAGTTGATACATTTTGCGCTTTGAATTGAGTTGCATGAATTGCTGCAAATAATCAGATGATTGATTTCTAAATTTGGCTCATTATACAAGAAAACAAGCCGCAACAAAGATTGGAACGATACAAAACAAAACTCGGTGGTATGTTCTCATTTCACATATCCAAACAATTATTGCATTTATGGTCAAATGATTCTAACTCCAGTAGTTCTTGTTTCTACTAATAACTGATGCATTATAGGGCTATAACAATGAGCTTCCCAGATTGGTTATTTTTTTGCCTGGATGTTATGTTACTCTTTTCTGGTAAAGCTTCCAAAATTATTTCCAATGAAAAGGTGAAAACTGAACAATCATGATGTTGAGCTGCCCCTGTTCCACTGCTGCTGTTGGGTACATTGTTGAATGTTTGGGCAAGAAATTGATGACAACAATGATGGTTAAATGAATATGATTGTAAAACTATCAAATTGACAAGGATGATGGATTTCTGATGCTAAGGGATCTTTGCAATGTACTGGTGTGGTGGAGGCATTAGGGGCAAGATGCATTTTAGGGTTCCTAGAATCTTGATGATGCCATATGGCTAGAATCACAAATCACAAATCATCATTGTCTGCAATCACTTAGTAATTACACTTCTTTTTAGTTAGCTTTCTTGAGTTTTTGGATCTTAACGAGTATCGTACACTTCACCATATAATCACATATCCAACTCCATGATGATTGGTGGAGATTATGAAGGGCAACGCCCCCTTGCCTGAAGGTTGGGGTGCAGGGGTTGTGCAAAATGTATTAAGGGTATTACAGTAATCAGCTGATGTAAATTCTAACATACATATTATGATCTTCACAAGCTAAGTAATTTTATTGCACTTTTGTCTTCTTTCAGTATAGTAGAACTAGTTGTGAGCATTAGACGTACACAATTTTGCCAAACCACATAAATTTGTGTATCGCGCTTTTCTTGTTTACGACTGATTCTTCTTGCTAGGCAGAAGCGAGAACCTTGTGTGTTGAGTAAAAATTTTTTTACTAATTAACCCTTTGTCAGGATTGTCTTACATCTTTGTTAAAAACAATTTAATGTGGCCAACTAATTAGTAATAATAACTCTAGCTTGAATAGTAAAAATTTAAATAGATTTCTTACCCAAATAGGGCTCTTTTTTTTTTCTTTTTTTTTTTATCAGAAGAGAATTCCATTGAGGAAATAGTCATAACGGCACTTACGGAGTCTATTCATCAAAGGCATACACCAAACAAAGTAAAAATATTAAAAATAGGGCTCTTTTATACTTCAGCTTTGTAGCTTTCTATAAAGTTTGGATAGATTGGATAACTAGAGATTGCAATGCAATGGACGGTTAGTCGGGAGATAAATAATCTATGGATTATTTAGCTGAAAATGATGTGGATTTGACTATTAGTTCGTCCTAATCTGTCATTCACTTTTCTAATGAAATGAAGAACTAGTAAATCTATTGGATATAGAGTTCAATCCCATGTCTCAATCTCATAAAACAAACACCCAAAATTGCACACTTTAAGATGGGTAACTTGTACCTTTTTTGATACAATAGCTTGTGTCTCCAAGTTATAACCTTCTTTTCTACTCTTGAACTCATGTTTGTGGATAAATTATACAGCGTTGGGTGTACTTATTTTGCAAACCAATCAACTATATTTGCTGGATTATTTTGTTTTACATTACATAAGTTGATACATTTTGCGCTTTGAATTGAGTTGCATGAATTGCTGCAAATAATCAGATGATTGATATCTAAATTTGGTTCATTATACCAGAAAACAAGCCGCAACAAAGATTGGAACGATATGAAACAAAACTCGGTGGCATGTTCTCATTTCACATATCCAAACAATTATTGCATTTATGGTCAAATGATTCTAACTCCGGTAGTTCTTGTTTCTACTAATAACTGTTGCATTATAGGGCTATAGCAATGAACTTCCCAGATTGGTTTTTTTTTTGCCTTGATGTTATGTTACTCTTTTCTGGTAAAGCTTCCAAAATAATTTCCACTGAAAAGGTAAAAACTGAACAATCATGATGTTGGGCTGCCCCTGTTCCACTGCTGCTGTTAGGTACATTGTTGAATGTTTGGGCAAGAAATTGATGACAGTAATGATGGTTAAATGAATATGATTGTAAAACTATCAAATTGACAAGGATGATGGATTTCTGATACTAAGGGATCTTTGCAACGTACTGGTGTGGTGGAGACATTAGGAGCAAGATGCATTTTAGGGTTCCTAGGATCTTGATGATGCCATTGATGGCTTGAATCACAAATCACAAATCATCATTGTCTGCTACCACTTAGTAATTACACTTTTTTGTAGTTAGGTTTCTTGAGTTTTTGGATCTTAATGAGTATCGTACACTTCACCATATAATCACATATCCAACTGCATGATGGCCCCATTTGATAGAGTTGTAGGAAAGTAATTATAACTTATAGCTTAACAGCTTATAGCTTATAACTGTGAACATAAGCTGATTTTTTACTTATAAATTAAGCTTCTCCTCCCCCACTCAAAAAATAAATTAATTTTTGACTTACAAAAAACTATAAGCTGTATTGTCAAAATAGCTTAAATTAAGCTAAAAGCTGAAATAAGCTAGAAATAAACTGAAAATAAGTCCCACCAAACAAGACCGATGATTGGTGGAGATTATGATGGGCAACGCCCCCTTGCCTGAAGGTTGGGGTGCAGGGGTTGTGCAAAATGTATTAAGGGTATTACAGTAATCAGTTGATGTAAGTTCTAACATACATATTATGATCTTCACAAGCTAAGTAATTTTATTGCACTTTTGTCTTCTTTCAATATAGTAGAACTAGTTGTGAGCATTAGACGTACACAATTTTGCCAAACCACATAAATTTGTGTATCGCACTTTTCTTGTTTGCGACTGATTCTTCTTGCTAGGCAGAAGCGAGAACCTTGTGTGTTGAGTAAAAATTTTTTTACTAATTAAATTATTCGAACATCAAATATGTGGTCTCCTTATTTTGGGTTACCTTGAACCTTACATCAAGATAGGGAACCCAAAAGGCTGAGTTTTGTTCTGATGTCATCATCAAAATGTACATAAAAATGACAAATGGAATTGTATATAACAAGCAGTCTACACAAGAGATTAATGGTTGAAATGCCTTTGATTAGACAATATTATTAATTTGCTTTTACGAATAGAAACCAATAAAACAACATCATACCTGACTATTATTCATCCTATTATTCATCCAGAACCTAAATGATTTGCCCTTAAAACTTCTGCGGACTGAAATCTTTGAATGTAGTTGTACTTAGTCCCCCCTTGCAGCTCTTTTATATACATGTAAGCTTATTTGTGATCACCTTCGGAATCTATAGCTTGCCAAATGGTGTTTTGTAATATTCCTGTACAACTGAAACTCCGGTATATCTAAATCAGTAACCAAATGCGAAAAATCCTCGACTAAATTTTATGCACCAAAGATGAAATCATCCCTGAGTGGTTTTATTTGGTTGTGTATGGATTCTGCATGATTTCAGCTGCAAATGGCTTCAACTGATAGCTTCTTCATGTTATCTGGGCACGGATCTCCTCCAAAAACTTCTGGAGCTACGCTAACCGAACAAGATTGCTGCCCTATGCAATTCTTAATAATAATAATAATAATAATTAAAAAATTGTGATAATTAGAGTACACAAATGACACTCAAAAGATCGAATGAAAAAAGAATTTTCATTCTCTAAAAAAAGCCCAGCCAGTTTAATCCCCATTGACTCGAGTTAGTGCTCAGACATATCGGTATTGTGCAAAAAGGTAAATGATATACTAGCGACTTGAGATTTTCAAACATACCCTTTTGAGTGCATCATACGACTTGTGAGCGTGACAACTTCCCTCCCGAAAACTTCCACAAGTCCCTTGTGGCAATCCATAGCTCGCAAACTTAATTTTAGAGATTTTCTGTCCTGGTGCGCACCACAAATGGGCTTTTGGTTGCAACTTATCTACTTTGCCAGTGGCCAGCATATGCCATTTCTTGAGAGTTGGCTGCCGATCAAAAATATCGGCACAGACCCTTTCAATTGTTCTTCCAACCAAAGAAATCCCAGTTGGGTCACCACCCCATTCTTCAAACACAACCAACAGATTCCCACTTGGTTTAAGCCACGACCGCGGAACATGGTACCTGAAATTGACAGCCTCATAACGTTTCTTAGAACATACAAAATCAGATTGGTCCGTTTTAGAGTAAATTACGAATCAAATGAGTTTCTATGGTTCCAGAAATTTTGGAACTGTAACTGAACCGTTGAGCCTATGTCACTGGACCAAGACCAAAACATAGAGATCGATTTGGTTCAATTCGGTTCTAGAAATTTTATATAACAGGAGATGGATATATATTTTATAATACCAAACAAACTATCAACTATCAATGTGGGTGAGTTGGTTGAAACTTGTCAATTTCACAATCAAGATTAGTGTTCAGATCTTGTTAATTGCTTCTATCTGCTTGTTTTTAATACAAAAATATTAAAAAATAATAAACAAATATATCACGGTTAACTGAAGCCTTAAAACCATGAACCGAATCAATTTGAATGGTTCTAGCATTTTTTAAACCAGAAACAGGACCAAAACTAATAAAAACCAGTGGTTTGGACTGGAATGAATTGATTTACCGGTTCCACCAGATATTTTGAATAACCCTAGAAACAACTGACATTGTTATTACTAAAACTTTCCTCACCATCTCTGAGAGGCTTCTCCGCAATTACTTTGGCATTTACCGTCCTTGAAAGTTCCAGCATAGTTGCAGCTGCCACAGTTGCCACGTGCTATGTATCCCGGCCAGTGGCGTCCTATGCTTTCGCCATTTATCCATATTTGACCCTTTCCCATGGTATTCATATCCAAACCTAACGGATCATTTCCTTCTGGTGCATTGAACGTAGTCTGGAAAGATCGTCAGATGAATTAAAAGATTGATTCATAAATTCATTTACATATTTACAGAAATGAAAGAACAATAAAAAGAATTTATTTATTAGGGTTTTGGGAAGATTATCACCTTGTACCATGTCAATGGTTGCTTTTGAGCCAATACTGATCCTTGTGTCCACTCAACAGAGGAACTTCCACCAAGTGTATGGAGATTTAAAGCTTCCCCTTTCAGACCAACCTGTGCAGAAACATGTATTCAAAGGTAACCTCATTGCCTCAAATTGGTCTGTTTGGTTGTGTTTGTGTTTTCATTTTGTGTTTTCTGGTTTCATTATCTAGAAAATACAAAACCTTCCTGAAATGCAAGCACTATATTGGCAACAGAAAAATGGATTGGAAAATGAAAACAAACCTTGTAAGACCAAGTTTGCTTTGTCAAGTCTCTTGTTCCCTCATTGAGACCGTTCAACATGATCGGACCAAGAACCCCAGTATTCCATGTCTCAAAATGCAAACCAACATTCTGAAATTTATCCAATAATCAAATTAGCATCATTAACATCCAACGAACATAAACTTTTGTCAGAAAGCAAAAACTAACCGGAAGACCAACAGCAACGCTAAGTAAAGATAACTTGTTAATGCCAGCTCTCAACTTCACATTGTCACTAAATGTCAGCTTTGGATTCTCTAGTCCCCCATACACGGTTCCTGTCAAAAAACATATATCAGTAAATGAGAATACAGATTAAAGCATATTTAATGATACTTCTTTTTCCATTTACAAAAATGCTTACCAAGTCCATATTACCTGATAGTTCCCCATTGATGAAAACATGCAAAGCATGGCCCGCTGACATAATTGTAAGAACAGGATATTGCCCGTTCCTTAAAAATCCTTCATCAGGCTGTATATTCACACTAGAGTGAAAACAAGAGTGTAGGAAACAAGAAAATCAGTTTAAATTATCAACTAGATTATGATGAGCTATTATTAAATTTGTAATGAAAACTGTCTCTCAACAACACTCACTCTGTGAGGTACCACAAATAGTCTGAGGCATCTCTGGTCACGTTTATTTGCTCCCATAGTCCATCCATTGCAACCGTGTCTGAATCATCGGCAGAGACAGTTTCTTCGATGTATGACTCCCAGAATGCTCCACTAATTACAGGTACCATCTTTATCTGTGAACTTTGGGAGCTTATCTGTAAAAAAATTTGATTGGATGTTAAAACCCATTTTTGGGAACTTTTTGAAAGAGATGTTCATTGAACAAAAGCTAAACCTTAATTTTCTCAAATGAAATCAAACTATAACACACTGAACAAAAGTGAGTTCTAGGGAGGGCAAGATGCATGCAGTTTTACTCCTATTTTCTAATACTTTTTATATTTACAAAATTATGACATAATGAAAGTTTTCTATAAATAAAATTAAAAGGGTGATGCTACACATACAAATTCGTATACAAAAAAAATATATATATATATATATATATTCCTACAAAATGAATGGTGAAAAAAAAAAAAAAAAAAAAATTCTTACAAAATGAATGGTGTGTCTCATTTATATCAATTCATTGGATGTCAAAATGCTCGTTACTTTGGTTCATAATTGCAAGAATGTCATTGTCACATCATTCTTATCTTAAATCTCGCATGAAAATAATGTATGCATATCATTTTCAAAATTAAAAGTATCCAAAGTATCATTCCAAATTATGATGTTAAATACATGACTTGAGAAGACATCAAAAAGCACCAAAAAAAATGAATGGACTTCAAATAGTTGTGAAAAGGACACCAAAAAATAAAAAAAATAAAAAAATAAAAAATGAAACAATTAGAGGACACTATTCAATGTGTTTGATTTCAGTTTTTTGAGTTCAGTTTTCTAGAACTTGAGTTTTTTATTTTTTGTTTTTTATTTTTATTTTTTTTTAGTGAATATTTTTAAAATTTTAAACAATTTTTTTCCTATTTTAGATGTAGGTAACTTAGATGTATCTAAATAGTAAAATATTTGTGAAAAAATATTTTAAAAAATTAATAAATACACGAAAATACAAAAAATGTATTAAATTTTTGTATTTTTGTATTTTTGGTATTTAGTAAATTTCTAAATATTTTTTTCACAAATATTATACTCTTTAAATGTATTTATGTTAGGTGTATCCAAAAATTAAAAAAATTGCTTAAAATATTAAAAAAAAATAGTGAAAAGAAAAAAATATGAAAAACAAAAAAGTAGAATTTTCTAAAACGTGTTTTCAGAAAACCCAAACCAAGCAAAGTGAAAACCCTATTTCTTCTTCTTCATTTTTTTTTTTCTTTTCGAAGGATGTTTTCTAAAGGGAAAACCCTATTTCCTTACCCTTGCGGTGTTGAAAACCGCATGCTTGCAGTCGGGGAGAATGCTGACGGACCAAGGAGGGAGGTCATATCGCATATTTTGGAAGGTCACTGTTGCTGAAGATTTTGTGTCGTAGTTTGCAAGGAATGCAGCACAACCAGACTTTGAGTTAAATACATGAACCTGGAAAATGAAAAATAATGAGAAAGGAGCTAATATCGATGATTGTCAAAATGATGCACATGAAGAAAATTGTAATAGATATGCATAGCTTTCTTGTAGCCTCAGAAGAGTTAATCAAACCTCGAGATTATTGCCTGGCCAAGTCACTGTAGGATATGTAGAAACTAAAGCCAGTTCACATAGCTTGATGGCTTTATGCAAATCTCTCAAATGTCCCCATTTTGGTTCCCTTTGTAATCCTTGCATATGATAAATTACACGTCATAAAAATGCCAAAAATATCATTATTTGCATCAGAAAAGCCCTAATATATAACATATATACAGGCAGAATATCATGGGCAGAGCTAGCAAGTGGCAACTGGGAAATGTGCAAATCTCTCAAATGCCCCAACTGAACTTCTGAAAAATTCTATTTTGACATATATTTGTGAAAAAAGTTTCCAATTTTACCCTTTCAGATTTTATTTTTGCCCATGATTCTTATATTGAAGTCCTTACAATTGCTTGTATGTTATTTTGCTAAGTAAGAACATTTTCTTGAGATTCTTTTTTCTTTTTTTTCCTTCCCTCATTTCTCTTTTCCTTCTTTATTTTTCTCTCTATTTCCTCTCTTGTTCCCCAAAAATGAGATGCTCTTGCAAAGGTGAACCAATCTTTTCATGCCATCGATGTTCAATCTCTTTCACTCTCTTGCCTGTTTAGTTTAAAAATTATATCTGGGGATTGAACTATTGAATAATACTTCTATGTGATTGGTGTTTATGTGATATTGAATTGTGTTTTCTTTTTTATTATCACTTCAAATTGTTTACTTCTTTTGATTGTCAATTATGAAAAAGATCATATATAGTCCACAAAACAAAAATCTTTATTCTGCTCCCAGGTAGAATAATTGTGCTAATGATCTCATGTGTTACATTGTACGGTCCCATTCCTTCCATGCAATGTGTGTTTGCACAAATAGACTACTTGTATGCAGTGGCAACAATCTTAAATCTTAATTGCTTAAGTAAAGATTGTAATACAAACAAAAACCTCAACACAATATAATCAAGTTATTTTCATGTGTATGCATACCATATTCGTCAATTGGAGCATCATAATCATAGCTAGTGGCAATGAAGAGACCAGCAGCCGTCCGTCCAAAATTTGTTCCTCCATGGTACTAATGAAAGAAAAAAAAAATAATAACAAGAAATATAAAAAATATACTTTACTTGATATAAGATAAGCATACAATTAAGAATTAACTCACCATATAATAATTAATAAAGGAACCATTATTCTGTATAAACCTTGCCACTGAAAATGCCAAGTCTTCAACAGGTCTCTGAGGAATTGGACCACCAAACTTTGTATACCTGATGATAAAACAGAGGAATCCAAAGAATCAATTAAGAAATTCAGAAAAAAATGTAACTGAGTTCTGTTGTTTGAATGATGAAATAATTTATAATTAAAACAACAAAGAAATAGGGGGGAAAAAATAAGTTTTTAAGTTATATGGGTGACATATGTGTGACTTACCAGCCAGTCCAAGCTTCAGTCCACATTTTTGGGTTATGGCTCTTTTTCGGTCTGAAGCCTTCACAGTAAAAACCATTGCAGGTGTCTATCTGTAAGATGATCAAGTAAGAGAGAGAGAGAGAGAGAGAATCGATAATTTGCCATTGTCCAATTCAAGAAAATGAAAATTCAATGCAAAATATTTTTGGGTAGGTACAATCCAAAATATGACTATCAAGAAAAAAACACATTCTCTTCTTTTCATTATTTTTCTAAACTCAAAACCCAGAAAAAAGATGTAAGAAAGATAACACTAAACATACAAATGGGGCCCCAACTGTGTCATGAAAACTATTCTACTTGAGGAACAATAAATAATGTTCAACAACCCCACCAAGGAAAACGGGGCACAAATATAATCCACGAACCAACAGTACTTTCACTTGAAGGAAAATTACAAGTAACAGAAAAAAGAAACTGTCGAAGTTTGTTCTTAACAAAAATTACTTACAATTGGATCAGGAACATCTTCTTGTTTGCACATAATCCACGGCACCCCTGTGTCAAGACCGACCGCCATTTCTGCGGCCCATTTCGTATACGCTTTACCGGGAGCACCAATTTGCCATTCTATAGGTGCATATTCATTCTCTATCTGTGAAATAAATAAATAACAGAATCAATAAAATGATTTTTAAAAACTCATTTCTAGAAAAAGAGCAAAGACTAGCATGAGGTAATTTTGAAACCTGAGACATGATAATTGGACCTCCCTGAGATTCGAACAAGTCTTCGGACTTCATCAAGTCTACAATTTTCTCTGTGAATTTTTGCATCGCTGCCTTTAATGTAGTCAAATGGTAATCAAGACTTAGTTAATTTATAAATGAATTTCAAAAATTTAGTAAACACGAAAAAAAAAAAAAAAAAGAAGAAGAAGAAGAAAAAAGAATAGTGGTATTTTCAAAATATGTAACGGAAAGATTTAAGGTGAACAACCTTGAAGGGCTCATTGTCTGTTCTAAAAGAAATGCCAGGAACATATTTCAGCCAAACAGGAAATCCCCTGTTTTCAAACAGAGCACAAAACAGAGATTCATTCATTCAATATATAATATAAATATAAAAGTAAATTTAACATAAAACAGATTACTAAATACATGCATACATATACATCATACAATAAAGGTTTTCTTTTTCTTTTTTTTTTAAATCAAACCCACTAATTTTTTATTTTGTTTTTTAAGTGGTGTAATAAGTTCAAAACAACATTCATTTGGCAATTAATTCTTAAAACAACTTGGGTTTAATAAATAGAAAATTATACAACAAATATTAAATGAATATTGTAAGTAATACCCAAAATTCCATTCAGCACAAATATAGGGGCCAATCCTGAGATGAAGATAAAGGCCAGCTTGTTGCACCAGTTTGATGAACTTAACCAGATCATACCTCCCCTCAAAATAATACTGAAAACAATTACAAGTGAAAATATTAAGAAAATAAAATTTAAAAAAAAAATTGAAAAAGAAAATGGGTTTTTGATTACCTGTCCAGGAGAAGGCTCATGCCCATTCCAAAAAACATATGTCTGTATAACATCCAGTCCTCCCTCTTTTGCCTTTTGTATAAGATCAGGCCACATCTTCAACCGACCCAAAAAGCAAATAAATCAATCAAAAATCAAAATCCAATTGCACATTGAAAAAAGGGCAAAATTAGGGATACCCATTTGCAGAATCAAACATACACATAATACCCAAATAAATAAATCAAAATCCAAAGCATTGTACATTTAAAAAAAATAAAAAAGGGGCAAAAATAGAGATACCCATTTGCAGAAACAAATAGACAAGGCATTCACACACCCACATATGTAGATATGTAGATATGTAGATGTGAAAGGCAATGGAAATGGTGGTTACCTCAGGGGTGCTTCTTGGGTAGTGAATGGAGCCAGAAATGAGAATCCTTCTTTTCCCATTAATGATGAAGGCTTTGTCATCGTAAGACACAGAAGCTGTAACAGAAGATGAACAAACCCACAAAAACAACAACAACCAACCCATTGACACTAGCACTGACATGTTGATGTTGATTCTCATCATCATGTTGTTGCACATTGAACCCGTGACACTCACACACACACTCTCTCTCTCTCTCTCTCTCTCTCTCTCGTTTGGAGGTCCTCAAAGCGATAGGGCCTTTTGGTTTTTTTTTGTTTTGCTTCTTAGTTCTTCACTTTTATGCTCTTTATTTTTTTTCTGTCCATACAAAAATGAAAAGAAATAAGAAGAATGAGCAGAGAGAGAGAGATAGAGAGAGAATGAACACACGGTTTCTTCTTTTTTCAGACCCTTCTTAACTTCAGCTTTTGAGGATTGAGAACAACAAAATTGCACAAATTGGAAAGCTCTCAGCACATGCATTTTAAAGACCTTGGGAAGTGGGACCCGCTTGCTCTTGGGGGCCTCACCCACTATTTTTATATTTTAGATTTTGGACTTATGTCACTATTTTGTAATACTTGAAAATTCAAGTGTTAGTTATACCAACACTACTCAATTATTCATTTAACCAAACATAATCTTACATTTTAATTCATTCAATATGAAATTTATTTTTACTTTTTTGGGATTTTACTCATAAATCTCATATTTATAATTTCTATTTTATTTGGTCTTATTCATAATTTACAATTTCATTTAGTCCTATAACTTTTAAAATAACTAAAAAATCTTATCTTCAAATTTAACAATGGAATCACAATTTAATATTTAGAATGATTTAAATAAATATATTTTTTAACTTTTTACGAAAAAATATACAGAAAAATAGAGAGATGATGTGACTCAAATAAGTACACTTATCTAAATAAGTGCACTTATATAAGTTGTAGTTTAATTATAGGAAAAGATGTCATTAGAGTATCTAATCTAATTTATTTTTTACACTATGATTTATATTTTTATTTAGTGTGAATTTTCAAATAATGTAATGATTATGAATATTAATATTCATACTTTTAATAAATCAAATATTGTGAATTTTAAAAAAAAATGTGAAAGTTGATGTAAATATTCACACTTTATTTATTTATTTATTTATTTTAAAATTATATTTTTCAAACATTTACATTTTCTTATTCATTGAAAGTGTGAATATTCGTACTTTAAAAAAAACATTTATTTTTATTCATAACAAATATGAAAATTGACATATTTTATTCTATAAATTACTAAAATATTTAATAAAAATTTATGAACTCGCACTTTTTACACTTCAAAAATACGAAAATTACTTTAAAAAAAGGGAGAGAATAAAGAGATTAAAGAATTATCTTACTATAAAAATTTACTGTCAAAAAATTATATTTTTCAAACATTTACATTTTCTTATTCATTGAAAGTGTGAATATTCGTAATTTAAAAAAAACATTTATTTTTATTCATAACAAATATGAAAATTGACATATTTTATTTTATAAATTACTAAAATATTTAATAAAAATTTATGAACTCGCACTTGTTACACTTCAAAAATACGAAAATTACTTTAAAAAAAAGGGAGAGAATAAAGAGAATAAAGAATTATCTTACTATAAAAATTTACTGTCAAATTTATTTTTATTTTCTTACATTTCAAATATGTAAAATTTCACACTATTATAAATTTAAATTTGAAAAAATTTCAATTTAAAAATTATGTGAAATTTTAGAAGTTACAGTTTCAAATTCAAAATAGTGTGAAGGTCTTATATATTTTTTATAATTTTATATTCAATTGAGAACTTGTTTGGTAGATCGAGTAGTTTTTAAAAATATAAATTTTATAATAAAATAGATATGTAAATTGAAAGTTATAGAATTTTAAAGATGAAATATTAAAAATAATAGCTACCATATAAGTATGTTGACTATTAATCTAGAGTTGAGCTTACACATAAATAAGTATAAAAATGTCTAAAATTTTGAAAGAAAAAAAAAAAAAAAAAAAAAAAAGACTTAATCTTCCAAACAACTTATATGATGGGACTTTATCATAGGAAAAAAATCATAGGACCAAATGGGATACAAATGCATGAAATAGGATTTTTTTTTTTTTTAAATATATATATACTTGTATGATTTTTAAAAGGATTAATTACATAAAAATAACTTACTTACTAGTAGATATTCGTTATTTATGAATGCATACATATTGAGTCTCTCAACCATTGAAATCCTACGTCTACATCTTTTTTGGAGCGGTAAAAGTGATACATTTTGATAGTTGAGGGGAGACAAAATGTATATATAGTTCATAAATGATGGGGATAAATTGATATTCATTGATAGCTAAGGGGATCTTAATGTAATTAACCCTTTTTTAAAATTGAAGAATCAATATAGGTAAAGTGATATTCACTTCTATCTGAGTAGTTTTTTTTTTTTGTGTAATTAACTCAAAATTTAAACAAGCCGCCAAAAACATTTGAAAAGAAAAGAACTCTTATTTTGTATGTTGTTTACTTTTATTTTAATATAACTTTTTTATAAATTTTTTTAATCCAAATAATACCAAAGCCATGCTTAATTAAGAGCAATAGGGTCACATGCACATAATTACAAATATCAAAAAAGGGTGTAACTGTGTGATTTAAATTTCTTTTATGTATAATCTATATAAAACTCAAGATAAATTTTAGAAATAATGGTGATAAGTTCATTTCTATGGAGGATATGATATTTGGTCCAATGATTGATCTTTTATGGAGATAAGGGCATGGTTAATGAAATTATTTCGCAAAAAAAACAACAAAAAAGAAAATTATTATTTTGAAGGAAATTTTTTTTTTCTATTTTTATCCATTGCCGTTACATCATTGTTGAATTGTCGAAAACCAGTAGCTGGACCACTGCTGTCGACTAAAAGGTTGGCGGTGATGATGGCCGTAGGCGACGACTGGTGGTGATAGTGATATGGACAAATAAACAAATTAAGTGGACAAATTGATAACACATAGGCAAATAGGGAATAGAACGTGGACAAATAGATGACACTTTGATAGATAAGTAATGTGATAGACATAGAAGTAAGAATAATATGGTCTTTTCAAATTATTTTGTTCTTTTGGCCCCAAAAAAGCAAACTTGAAGCTATTGCCACAAAAATTTAAAAATTAAATTTATGAGCCGAGTGCCCTAAATTTTAATCGCACATTATATATATATAT